CCATGTGCAGATCTCCGAAACCATTTTTTTCGTGAACAGTGCCTTCAACGTAAGCGCTAAATTCCCTACACCTACGGTTCCCTACTCGGTGGAGCGACTCAGATGAACATATCGGAGAGAATCATACAGAAGCAATTCCGGAAAGATTTATGCAAAGAAATGCACCTCTCTAAATATAAAGTTTGATCGATTGATCGATCGACGTTTGATTGATCGATTTGATCGTAAAAGACGTAATCGTAGTAATCAGCGTAGTTTTCAGATGATCCGAGAACAGGAACAACAAGTACTAGCACTTCTCGAAATGAGTGAAATGCTCAAATCCGAAAACGAACAGCTACGACAGCAGGAAGAGCAACTTAGAGTGATGCTTGAAGAAACTACAAGGAATGCAAGGTCTAAAGAAGAAGAGCTACGGAAAGAGTTCAGCGATCAGATTGGGTTACTTATAGAAAATACAGCCGAGTAAGTATGTGACCTTCTTCTTGGGAAGAGGATGATAAAATCTTAGTCTAGTCTAAAAAAAAGGGGGGGGGGACCAATCCCGTTTCTGGGATGCGCCCTGCATTCGACTTTGGTAAGGTTTTTTATGTGTGTGTGGCCAAGACGATGAGCTGCGGATAGCCAGAATACAAGCCAGTCTCTTTTATTTTCTCAATCGAGTCTAGTACTAATTAAGCGACTCCAGAAGGAAGGTGTGCTTGGTCGGCCTGGGCATGTGTCAATCCACAATTCAACATATTCGGATTTGATCCCTGGACCGTGCGCATGTAATAGTGCATCGTCTGCCATCATACTAGGTCCCTCGCAAGGGGTAAAAAACACTCTGACATTTTTTTCGTCCTCTGATAGCTTATTCCAGGACCGACTACGAAGATATCGTGCAGAAATGCGGGCAAGCAAGGGAAGAAGAACTGCTCCGAAGCGATGCGCGTGTGCAGGAATTGCTGGCCGAAATCAGAGAGATCCATGTGGCCACGGATGAGGAGATCCAATCCCTGAAATCGGAGCTGCACGAGGAACGGCAAAAGCGTATAGAGCTAGAGACCGTTGCGCAAAGGTAATACAGTACAGTTTCAACTGGTTCCTGTCGAACTCTCCGAATCAACTTTTGAAATTTAGGAACAAAATCGAGTTAGAAGCAACTAGAGACCTTGCTTATACAAAGCAGAACGAACTGTATGCTGTTCGATGGTGGGTAGACTCGCCCTGTTGACCTTTTTATAAAAATTGATTTCAAGTTTTTCAGTGAACTGAATCGTCGGCTGAAGGAAAACATGGAAAGCGAATTCGCAATGCTCTCTAAGGAGGAGAATTTCCATGAAATGCTAATGCAGCGAACGACATCATTTGAGAAGAAAATCGCTGAGTATGAACGGACCATTGAAGAGAAAGACGAGCAGATTAAGGGTAAGCCAAGGCTACCATCTCTCACTGCAACGGACCTACCTGGTGGCCTTTGAAANTCAGTGTTTTTATCCTTCCAGACGAGTTTGACACCAATTAGCCGACCTCCGTGGGATGGAGGGCTCGATCGGCTTAGGCGAGTATCAATACGAGATTCGATCCCTTGATCATGCAGGCGTAATAGTGCATCTCTTGCCATTATTCCAAATTCCCCTACACGAGAAAAATACATGGTAACATTTCTTTCTTGTTCTCCTTTGACATCTTGTTCCAGGACCGATTACGAAGATATCGTGCAGAAATGCGGGCAAGCAAGAGAAGAGGAACTGCTCCGGAGCGATGCACGTGTGCAGGATCTGTTGTCTGAAATCAGAGAGATCCAAGTAGCCACGGATGAGGAGATTCAATCCCTGAAATCGGAACTGCATGAGGAACGTCAAAAGCGTATAGAGCTAGAGACAGTTGCGCAAAGGCAATACAATACAATTTGAACAGGTTCCTGTCGAACTCTCCAAACTTACTTTGAAATTTAGGAACAGACTCGAGTTAGAAGCAAGTAGAGACCTTGCTGATTCGAAACAGAACGAACTGCATGCTATTCGATGGTGGGTTGACTTCCCCTGGTATCGGTTTTCATAGAAAATTAGATCAAGCTTCCAGTGAACTGAATCGTCGGCTGAAGGAAAATATGGAAAACGAATTCGCAATGCTCTCTAAGGAGGACAGTTTTCATGAAATGCTGATGCAGCGAACGGCGTCATTTGAGAAGAAAATCGCTGAGTATGAACGGACTATCGAAGAGAAAGACGAGCAGCTCAACGGTAAGCTAAGGATACCATCGGTCACTGCTGCGAATGGACGGACCTCGTAGCCCTTAGAGTATGGTTTACTATTATTCTTAAGCTCTTTCAGCGGGTATCCAATCCATGAATGGAACGGGTATGTGACATTATGCCCAATCCACTCGCCGTTCCTAGCTAGTTGTCCCACCCGAAGTCATGTCCTAGTTCACTGCCTTGCTGCACGACATGCAGCATGAGAACACGCAAGATTCCCTCGTATGATATGGAATCAATCGAGTTCAGAGCCTCAAAGCAAGTTCGAACTAAAGGGCTCTCAGAGGGTTTTTTGGCTAATCTCGACTTGCTTTGCTTTCCAAAACCTCATATTTTTAGAATTACGTAAAAATGTCGAACTTTTGGAGAGTCAGACGACTACTGGAATTTCTCTGAAGGACGACGAGGAAAAGCGTCGCTTGGAAAGCGAATTGAAGGTAAGGTTACAAAGACTTCGCCTGGAAATCTCAACGAGCATGCCCAACCTAGTCTGAGCCTATGAGATCGAATTTCCAGAGCTTGTCTTTGGCTTCAAAGCAAAAAGAGGAGAAGAATAAAGCAATCATAGAGGAATTAAAGCAAGAACGGAACAAGCTGGAAATCAAACAAGCTGGAAATCACGATTGCCGAACTCAAGTAAGTTCATCGCTTCAGTCTACGCTGAATTTCTTTTCCAGTTAATGCTTCAAAAATTCTGGAGGTTACTTCTGCCGCTACCATTTTTTCTATTTGCTGAAAAAATCAAAAATTACTCATTGGCGTGAAGATCTTCTGATCACTGTTTTTAACTTTCTTATTGTTGTGTAAAAATACAGCCGACCATGACGCGTAGGGTAGGAAGTGACCCGTGCGGTTATGCTGATCAGTGAAAACAGCTGATTCTCAGCTGACTTTGGACACCTGAACTATGATCATTGGTTCTTTGAGTGTTGATCTATCAATTAAATTAATTAGCTGCATTGTTGATCCTTATTGAGCTATATTCCCGTAATCCAGTAGCTATATGCACCAAGTAATACTGTACGGTGGTTTCGGTAGCGGGGGTCCAGTATCGGTTGCGGGGGAGGGGGTCCAGTCGCGCATCTGCCACCATCAAGTACTTCCTGAAAGTAAATATAATGATTAGCTAATTAACTATATGTAATTACAACTAAAACGATTGCTATTTACTAAAGTAACTATGATTATTACTTTAATGAGTGAATGGGCCTAACATATGTACAGTAAGGTACACTAATTAATAGAGAGAGGCAGTCAATGAAAAATATTGCGTCCTATGTATCGATTGGCAAGGAGGCGGGCTGAGTACTGTAACTGAAATTCGAAGCCGCGCGATTTGCCGCATGCCGCGAAGCGAACGTGGGAATCGGGGAGAAGTTCCACCACCTATGGCAAGCCGTAGCCACCACCGAAAAAACACGGGAAGAAAACGTTATCGGGGTATTTCATGTCCCCTTATGCTGAACACCTCCCATTTTTTGGTTGTTCTAAACGTTTTCGAAGATTATTAGAACCGACCTTTAACATTAGCTCTCTTTTGGAATGATAAACAATCTTCCCACAGTTCGCACTATCTGCTTAGATGACCCAGGGACTTCAATTACTCGTAAGGAAGCCTTACACAGTAAGGAGAAATTCATTTCACTTTAGCCGTTTATTTTTCAGGAAGAATGTTGAGGCATATCCGTCAAAAACAGCTGAGCTGAACCGCCTCAGATCACTTCTGGAGGAGAAGGAGGAAAAACTGAGCGCTTCACGACGCCGATACAGAAATCTACTTCGAAAAGTTGAGACGTCATTAGCTCATCTGGAAAAGCAACACCAAAAAACTAAACGGAAACTCGAGGAGAACATCATTGGTAGTGGCGATATGCTTCAATTCTAAGTGAAGAGGTCATTGAAATTATGGGCAACCATATTATACGGTTTTTTGTATGTTGTTCAAATATATAAAGGAAAACAGAATCAGGTGTTTCATTTTCTCACTAGGTTGTAGACAGTCAAAGGATCCTTTTTGTTGGAAACAGATTTGATTCACCTTCTAGCAGTTCCTTGGAAATTCCAGTGTATTCCCGGGAGAGCTGGACTATCGCAAACTTTTTGCTATATACTTTCTCACCTAATATTACAATTTCCCAAAATATCTCCATTCAAAAACCATACCTCTACAGTTATACTGGCATTCTTCCAGAGTTGTCATATAGCCCACTGATGCTTATGATGAAGCTATTGTGTTCCGTTTAGCCCAATCAACGAATCTAATATTATGATCGAGATGAGCTTTTTGTGGTGAAGGGGTTGTTTATTTCATTTATATGATTTGCACATGAACCAACAATCCGCTTTTTTGTATTGTGTTGTATTCTATCATTAAATATAATAGTACATTACTGCATGGTCGACTTGTTGTCGATTGAGATCCTTCATTTGCTTGAACAGTGCCCTTTGTATTTGTTATTATAAACGTGACCTTCGCCTACTCTGTCGATTTCTTCTATTTGCTCCTTACTTACTAGCAATCGATACCGTTAAGCCTTGAAAATTGTTACAAAATCTTAGGTATGACTGCCCTGAAGTTGTTTAATTTTGAATGTTTTCGTTGCGGCATAAAGTTTATTATATCTGTAGTGCTAGCTTTGAACTAATTATGTTCCTTCGATTTCTAGGTATGAAATGCCTACTTGGGTGGTCAGCACCTTTTGGTGATCATGATTTTTATGCCTTTCTGGGATTCAACATCACTGGTATTCGGTTATCTCACCAGGGAAGGATCCCAAGTCGAAGTGGCCAATTGAGATGAGACCTACACTGCTGGACGTGTTTTTGGATGCTGAGTTCGAATCTGCTTCCCAAATTTGCCGAGCGTTCCTGTGAACGGAGTTATGAGGGTGGTTTTAGGGAGCTTAACATAAGAAAACTTAAATTACATGGATGCGCCTTTCTTGTCAACGGCGGCTTGGTGTGGTGGTAAGCGTGATGCTTCATGTGCGGGAGGTTCGAGTTTCGTGGGGGGCAGGATTTTTGCATTACATGGAATTTTTCTTTTAAGGACTAGAAACTAC